ACTTAGGTTTTCCCGTCGATCAGTGGGATTTCATTCTTTTCAACCTTCTCAGTAAAAAGATTGATGAAGAGTCTTTGAAACGCTTCGAATTGAAACATGCCTCTTCAGACGTACCGACGTATAATGCTTTGTATCATTTTCTGAGTGATCAATGTATAGCCTTCAAATCTGTCTCATTATCCAAGTCGACAATAAAAACTCCATGCATTCAAAATAAAAGATACTCTTCACCAAATACAAAAAACTCTCCAACTTTTCTGGTAAATACTTCTGATAATACTAATAATAAATGTCCACTTTGTAAAATGAATCACTCAATATATAAGTGTCCTACCTTTACTTCGAAATCTCCCAAGGAAAGGTATGATATCGTTAAACAACATAAGTGGTGTACCAAATGTTTAGGTTACAAACACTCTGCAAACAATTGTGCATCAAAGTCTTGCTGCTATATTTGCAGTGAAAATTCCCACCATACTCTTTCACATTTTAGCGAAAACCCTCAAAAGTCAACACTTCCTGAGCTACAGGCTCCAGGAACGTCATCGTTATCTGACGCTGTCACTCTCACTAATACTCTCGTAGACTCATCAGTTTTAATATCCACTGCCAAAATTGAGATACGTGACAAGGCAGGAAATTTTCATATCATCCGCATACTCCTTGATTCGGCCAGTCAAGCTTCCTTCATCACTGAGGGATGTGCAAAGCGGCTGAACTTACCCAGATTTCCATCAAACCTCACCATCAACGGTTTGGGGGATATGTCATCGGTTGCTTCATTTTATATTTCTTGTTTGTTGCGCCCTATTGGCATATATCAACCTACCATTTCCGTTGATGCTAATATCGTTCCCACAATATCATCTTTCCTACCAAATAGAATGATTTTTATCAATGAGTTATCTCAGTTTGCTAATATTCCCTTGGCTGATTCGTCATTTAATGTGCCGGGGCCTATTGATATGTTGCTTGGTGCCGATATCTTCTCTCTCATTTTAGAGGAAGGAAAATTAGTAGGGCCTGCCGGTCAGCCCGCTGCTTTTAAAACCATTTTTGGATGGATAGTTATGGGTGAGGTTCCTATTTTTAATGGTCCCGAAGTGAATTTCTTTCACGTCTCTTGTGAATGCAACTCTACCTTGAATGAAAGTCTGAAATTGTTCTGGCAATTGGAACAAATTCCTGTAGTCAGTGCCCTCTCTCCTGACGAAATCGCGTGTGAAGAAATATTCCAAAAAACACATTCCCGTGACTCTTCAGGGAGATATACTGTATCACTTCCCTTCAAAAATTCGTTACCCTATTTTGTTCACACTCGTTCTTCTGCTCTTCGCTGTTTCTATTCTCTAGAACGGCGACTCTATCAAAACCCCTCTACATTCCTAGAATATTCGAATATATTGAAGGAATATCTCGACAACGATCATATGGAAGACGTAAATATTCTCCATATAAAAATACATTTTATATTCCCCATCATTGTGTGGTTAACTCTAATAGTCCCACTACCAAAGTAAGGGTCGTATTCAACGCTTCTTTCAAATCTCCTTCAGGCATCTCATTGAATGAAACCTTGTTCATTGGGAAAAAGCTTCAACAAGACATTGTCGCTCTGTTGTTGAACTTTCGCTGTCATACCTATGTTTTTATTGCCGATATTAAGGCTATGTATAGGCAAATTCTGGTTCAAGAATCCCATCGTAATTTCCAAAGGTTGCTTTGGCGATTTTCTGAAAATGACCCTGTTCAAGACTTCCGATTGAAAACTGTCACCTTTGGTGTCTCTGCAAGCCCTTTTCTCGCCCTAAGAACTTTGTTTCAGCTGTCCGAAGATGAAAAAAATAATTTTCCGAATGCTTCCAGAGTATTGAAGAGAGATGTTTATGTGGATGACATTTGTTCAGGTGGAAACTCTTTGGAAGAAACCATCATTTTACAACGAGATTCAATATCTTTACTGAAAAAGGGATATTTTCTCTTGAGAAAGTGGTCCAGTAATCATCCGGACCTACTAAAAAATTTTCCTCATGAGGACTGTCAGCAAACTGCCCTGTCTTTCGATAGTAGTGATGGAAGTGATTCGGTGGTAAAAGTTTTGGGTCTCAAATGGCTTCCATGTACTGATACTTTCTCTTATGATGTTATTCCTTCGAATAAACCCTGCACGAAACGAGCCATTCTTTCTGAAGTTTGTCGAGTTTTCGATCCTCTCGGTCTTTTAACACCACTGTCGTTTTTCTCCAAATTCCTCATTCAGCATCTCTGGAGTCTTGGATGTGATTGGGATCAGAAACCCCCTCCGTACATCATCGATAAATAGACAAAATATAAGAATATCTTTCTTGTGAACTGCATGGTTCTGCCGACAGTTCGGAGAGGAGATATGCTGCAGTGATATATTTCCGTTTCAAAGTTTCTGAAAATGAATATGAAACTCGGTTGATTAGTGGCAAATCTAAAGTTGCACCTTTACTCTATCCCCCGTTTAGAGCTTTGTGCTGCTGCCCTGCTATCAAAATTATTCGATTTCATCCTCAACACATTCAAGGATACGCTTTCTTCCGACTATATATTTGCTTGGAGTGATTCTATGGTCGCTCTTGATTGGATAAAATCATCTGCTCATCGCTGGAAACCCTTTATCAGTAATAGAGTGAGTTATATCCAAGAACGAATACCACCACATTATTGGCATTATGTCCGCTCGAGTGACAATCCTGCCGACTGTGCCTCTCGAGGTTAACTACCCTCAGACCTAATGAACCATCCCCTTTGGTTCAACGGACCAACTTGGCTGACCCTTCCAAAAACCAGGTGGCCCACTCACACTCCCAGTTCCGATCGATCTCTCGTCTTGGAAGAGGAGAAAACGGTAACTCTTCTCACATTCATTGCCCTTGACTCTTTGGAGACTCTTCTTGAAAAGTATTCGTCTCTCAATAAAATAACTAGAATTATTTCCTATTGTTTTCGTTTCATGAATAATTTGAGAAATCCCACAGCAAAAATCTCCACTGCATTCACAGCACTTGGATTGCATCACTCCTTGCTTGCCCTAGTGATAGGTGTTCAACATTCATCATTTCATGTCGAAATTACTGATTTGGAAAATAAGCTTCCCTTACCTAAAGCCCTCAGAAAATTGAATCCTTTCATTGGAGAAGATGGTCTCTTCAGGGTGGGCGGTCGTTTGGTGCATTCTGGGCTCGCTTATGATAAGAAACACCCTATTTTGTTACCGACCAAACATCGTCTCACGTATCTTATTATCCAAAAAATTCATGAAGAAAATTTCCATCCTGGTTTGCAAACTGTGCATTTTTTGATTGCCCAAGAATTTTGGATTCTATCACCGAAACGTGCCATTCGACATGTTCTCTCGAAATGTCACAAATGTTTCCGTGTTAATCCTACTCCCTTAGAACCCTTCATGGGCAACCTACCTTCCCTGCGAATAAATCAAGTTAAACCATTTTCATGTGTAGGGGTGGATTATGGTGGCCCTTTTCATATTACTCGTGGTAGAGGAAGAGGATCTCAATCGTACAAAGCTTATATTTGTTTGTTCGTTTGTCTTGTCACAAAGGCAGTTCATATTGAGTTGGCCTCTGACCTCTCTACCGATACTTTCATTGCTGCCTTACGGCGTTTCATCAGCCGAAGAGGACGGTGTAATCGCATTCTTTGCGATCAAGGTACCAATTTTGTTGGTGCAAAAAGAGTACTTTCCGAATTCATGCGTCAAGCATCTGAATCTGAGAAAATTTCATTCCAATTCAGTGCTCCTGGATCCCCTCATTTCGATGGAGTTAGTGAGGCTGGAATGAAAGCAATCAAATCACATTTGATACGAGTCGTAGGAAATCAAGTGATGACCTATGAGGAGTTTTATACACTGCTCGTCCAAATTGAGGGTCTTCTGAACTCAAGGCCCCTCTACCCCCGAAGTTCTGATCCCAACGACTTGACAGCATTGACCCCAGGTCATTTCCTCACTATGGAGCCCCTTACATATCTCCCTAATCCCGACCTCTCTCATTTAAAACTCAATTGTTTGGATCGATGGCAGCTAGTACTAAGATTCCAGCAGGACATTTGGAAACGTTGGCACACCGACTATTTGAATACTCTACAACAGCGCCACAAATGGCTAAATAAGGGAATATCTATCAATATTGGGGACTTGGTTTTAATTGAAAACGAATCCTTACCACCTCTACAATGGCGCTTGGCCAGAATAGTGAAAACGCATCCGGGGTCAGATGCGATTGTGAGAGTGGCAACAGTCCGGACGAACCAAGGTTTTTTTCAGAGACCTCTGGTAAAGTTGTGTCCTCTTCCCCAACCTGTATGAAAATACTAGGTATTTTGGTGGGCGGAAATGTTAACGCCCGACGTTAACTGTAGGTTAAGTTAGCAGCATAAATATTATAAATATATTTTTTTTTCCTCATTAATTAGTTCTTCATAATTTTCCTCATATTATTATTAGGGATTAATATTTGCCATGAAATTAAATATTCACTATCACTCTGTATAGTGGTTCTATATTTTCCTTCTTCTGATTCGAAGGCGTTTTTTGTCTCATATTTTTTGTGACTGTCAAAGCTGGTTTGGAGACGGACATGCCGAGAAAATATAGTCGCATTGATATTCAGCGAAATACGCGTGCTCTCTGTATCCATTACATTCACTGTGTATAAGTGACTCTTTATCGAACAAATGCAAAACAAATCTAGTGTACAACACAGCCAGCCCTTCATACAGTCCACAAACTCTTTGATCAGCGGATAAGGTGGTTGCAACCCCGAAGAAGATCGGATCAGGGAAGATTCCAGGTGAGTCCATCTCTATTCGACCTTTTTTGACAAGTCTTGAACCAGTCAAATTTCAAATAAAAAACCACACCTTATTCAAAACCTAACAGGACGTATCGAGGACATTCAGGATAAAGTTATTTGCATATTATTCAACTTTTCTACAAAATGAGACACGTACATATTATACATTTATTTGTGGGTGTATATACAATAAGAAGTATAAACACAAAAAAAGATTACAGTTCAAATTCTTTTTGAGCTGGACTGCTGGCGGCGTTCTCTGGCTTGCTCGAGCCAGGATTGTAGTGAATTCTCAGTTTCTTTCTGATCTTTTGCCTCGTGGGCCTTTTCTGCTGCATCTACAAAAAATATTTTCAATCAAATCAAATGACATCATTCAATCAAATGTGAAACATGCATAATACAGGTGGGTGTTTCATATGTACAGGACTCCATAAGGATGGGATAGCTGGTCCAATGAAATAAAATGAAAACTTTACCTCTAAAATACACCATTTTTGAGATACAGGGTGTTGATATTAAATAAAAAATTGCTAATATCTCTAGAAACGTTTATCACAGGAAATATTTTTTTACTCATGATGAGCTATGTTTTTTTCATCAGTCATGATAGGAAAAGATCTTGAAGGGGTATCGAGTGTTTTCCTCCCCAAATTAACTGAATTGGTAGTAGTAAAATTAGCTTCAAGTCGCTCAATTGAACCGCCAATGTTTTCTACACAAAAAGAGACTCTTGGTCATATGCTCCAAAGTTGACCAATTTCAAGAACAATCAACTTTTCTGGAGAAAAATATGGTCAATGCATCGAAGAATTGCTGCCTGCATTGAAGCTAGTGGCGGATATTTCTAACAATTAATTTATCCGAGTATGGTTTGTTTTTCTATTTTTTTTTCAATTCTGCAATAATGGAATTAACGTTTGGATTTGTTACCTGTTTCAACCTTTGAATGAATTTTGTTTATATTTGTTGATTTTTTTCGAAAACGATCAACTTCAGAGCTGATGACCAGGAGTAATTTTTTGTGCTAAAAACATGACCAGGAGTAATTTTTTGTGCAAAAAACAAGTGGCGGCAAAAAACTGTACTGTTTCCAGTGGCGTAGAAGTTGGGGGAAAAAACACTACCCCTTCAAAATATTCCCCAATTATGACTAATAAAAAAAATCCACACAGAACATAGCTTATTATTTGTAGAAAATGGTTACAAAGCTGTTTTCTGTGGGATAAACGGTTCCAGAGAAATTCTCAAGAAACATTTTTTTCTTTAATTTCAACACCAAGTATCTCGAAAATGAGAGAAACCATAACATCTTGAAGTATTGTGCATATAATATGAGACACCCTATATTCATGATGTTCTCTTTCAGTAAAAAAATGCTTCATGAAAACAATTGATGCAGTTTTGAAAAAGATATATCATACAGGCTTGTTTGTAAATACAGGGTGATTCAAAAGTAAGCGGCATCCTTTCAGAGGCGTATTCCTTGCATGAAAATAAGGCAAAAAGTTCCTATTGATAAGGATCCGAAAATGCTTCCTAAGGGAGCTACGGCCCTTTGAATAGGACACCTCAAAGACGGTTTTTTCTCTATAACTTTAAAATCCTTCACAACAAATTTTTAAAAATTGGTGTACGGCATAAACATTCGATGGTAAATAGGACTCCGTATTCGAAATAATTTCCAAACGAAATCACAGTAACCTGAATATCCGGAGAAGAAGGGATATTTTTACACTTACCCTCTCCCGCATGTGACGCCCCTGAATGAAATTCTGAAATTTCGAATACGGAGTCCTATTTACCATCGAATGTTTATGCCGTACACCAATTTTTAAAAATTTGTTGTGAAGGATTTTAAAGTTATAGAGAAAAAACCGTCTTTGAGGTGTCCTATTCAAAGGGCCGTAGCTCCCTTAGGAAGCATTTTCGGATCCTTATCAATAGGAACTTTTTGCCTTATTTTCAAGCAAGGAATACGCTTCTGAAAGGATGCCGCTTACTTTTGAATCACCCTGTATATGCACTGCAAATATATGCACATAACATTTGTTGAAAATTTCAAGATTGGAACAGTGTGTGACCAAAGTATGGATTGAATTTGATCTGGTTTTTTCAAACCCTCTTAGTTTCGAAACTATCGAATTTATTCAAAACTTTAGCCTAGCACTGTGTATGCAGCAGTAATGAATAATTCTCATGCAGTGTATACAATATTTGGAAAGTAAAAGAATCATCTCATATTTAACAGATTTGTACTCACTCAGGACAAGTTTTGCCATCAGCAAATTATGAAATGGCCTTTTGCCTTTCCGGCCCAGCCAACTGAATTCAGTTGCCTTTTCATTGCTTAATAATGACGACATCACTCTCTTAACAAAGTTGTATTTATTTTCTCCTCCCAATTTTGCCAATTCAATCACCTAAAACATGATAGTGTGGTGATTTATTGAAAAAAGTATATATACTTACAGCTGCATCAAAATGCTCCTCTTGCTTCAAAATGTCTTCGAATTTTTCCAAATCTGTCGAATCATTTATAGGAAAATTTATTTCAAAATCCGTATACAAGGACCCATGTCTTTTTTTCTGAGTCTTCCTGTCTTCCTTTGCTTTCAAGGCTGATAATATTTCAGTTGAGATACTACGTATCAAATGGTTCTGCTCTTTTATTATCCTCAGTTTTCATACTGAAAAATGCAGAATGTGTAACTTCACATACATTTCACTAATTCAATTATACATATTATCATGTTCATTGCCCAGTATAATGATCTCAATTTTGCTTCTTTGAATTGATAAAACTATGCCTTTGACTTGAATACATAATATATAGGATACTAACCATTATCCTTACAACCCTGGCAACAATATTGATTGATGGTATTCTGAGGCAAATAATAATTCTCCTGTTGTGTAATATCAGGTACAGTAACATTACTGTGTGGCAGATGAAAAATTCCATCAGATTCAGTATTTTCAATAGTAAAGCTTTCTTGCAATGGTGTGATCTGAACATTCTGAACAGGAGTTTCATTTTTCAGGTGACCTGAAAAAAATGAAATTATCTCTGAGATGAATGAATTTGAGTTATTATCACAAATATCACAATGAAAAAGGAGTAGGTTTTTCATTGTTCTTGTTTTTTGAATTATGTGAAAATTAATAGTATTGGTAGGAATTTGATGTAACACATATATCCCACAGAATGTGGGATGAAAGGAAATTTCATATCAATGCATATTCTTTGGCATTTCCTCCCCTCGTTTCTATTAAATAAAAATATGACTATTATTCCAATATACATGTAGTAGGACGAATCAGATGATTTGCCCCAAAATGTCACTGCGTTTAAAAAAAATTTCTATCCAGAGAGTCTGAAAGAAAAATCCAATTGCTTGTCAGTGACACTTTGTTTCAAAAATGTTGGAAGAAGAGAAATATAGATATATTGAAAAAAATATTGATTTTTTTACTTATCTTTGGACATTTCGGGAACGAATCTGCTTCCATTGTCAACATGAAAAATGTGAAATATTATTCTAACCTAACCTACTGACAGTATTCAATGAATAAGGAATCTGACTAGTTATATTCTAATCATATTGAAAATGATATCTGCCCACCATTGCCAGAAACATCCACTTTTTTCACCATGCCTACAAAATACCTTGAATTAGTAAAGATGTACTAACAGTTTCAAAAATATTACATCGTTTTGGGGGGGAAGGTAGAATGGATTCTTCTGATGAACTCCCACTAGAAGATAATACTTTCTGAATCCTTTTCCTTCTATTTTAGATTTCCATTTCAGATGCTAGATCGCTTGTTTGTCCAGCATCTTTTGAAGATTGAGAAAAAAATGTTGCTTTATTCATATTCAATCTTTAGAAAAAATGTATATGTATAGGGTGATTCATTAAGAATGGGAAATCACTGAACTACATTTAGTATACACCAAGATATTGAGATTTAGCCTAACATGCCTGATGAAAATGTTGCTGGCTAAGGAGATACAGGATGTTCTAAGGGGAGATTTTATTTTAAATTTTCTAAATAACTTCGTAAGTTTCAACAACATGAACATGGAATTTTGTAGTTACATATTTTCTGACATGAGGAATACACAAATTCATGTTCATGTCAGCAACATTCTTATCAGGCATGTTAGGCTAAATCTCAATATTTTAGTGTTTACTATCTGTAGTTGAGAGATTTCCAATTCTTAATGAATCACCCTGTATATTGTGAATGTGAATCATTACATTTGCTCTCACAGAAGCACCAATGGTGGCAGCTGTGGCGATATGAATAAATTCTATTCTATTCTGAATTGTATTCACAGTGATATAGTTATTCTCAACAGATATAATTATTAATACATTTATCATAATTTAATTTTCAGATCTACTGACTATGGAAATTCAGTATCAGAAAAATGAACATTTCTACTTCATGAAATATTTCTTGTTTTATTGTTGCGTTTCTAGTTTTAGAGAACTATCACAAAAATTATGAATTTCATCTTACCAAATGTCGCATTTCTAAATACTTCAATCTTATGAGTAGGCCAACATGTATTGAGTGGTTCACTTTTCCGTATGGCCATCATCAACTTGGGAGGAGCCATTGAGGAACAGTGACAGAAATCCCCCTGTATCCATATTGTTGGCACGGCTTCCACTGTGTCATCTACAAATTGAACTACTGTCCACGTTTTCTCTTCAGTCATCTTTCTCAAATGAAAATAAAGAAAAAAGATTTATTTCTTATTATATATACCATGAAATAAATGAAGAATTGAATAGGTTTCTGTAGAAATATAATGAGCAGTCATGTTCATAACCTAACAAAAAAACAAAATTCTCAATAAACCGAAAATGAAATGAAACTTAATATTCAATATATTATACATTGTTGTACAAATACACTCTTGAAATATTTTTGTTAAGATTCAAGAAACCTACGAAAGGTGTCTAGAATCATAAGAGAAATGTTTCAAAGATCATGTGTTTCATGATCATTCATAATAAACTGAAATGAAATTAAAATGAAAATTGATATTAAACATAATATTCACAGTTGTTGAAATTTACTCTGAAATACTTCAGTTAGAATCAAAAAATGTTTGAAAGGTGTCTCAAATCATAAGAGAAATGTTTCAAAGATTATGTTTCATGAAACAAAAATCAATCTGATGTATGAATCAATGGAAAAATTATGTAGCTAGTTTCAAATTCAAGTTTCACACATTTATGATTTACATCACTGATATTGAATATTTCCAAGGGTCCAAGATCTACATCAGCAATGAAAATACCAAATTCTGATGATTTACAGGGCTGGTCATACAAATCTCTGATATTTGAAAGTTTATTTCCGATTATTTTATATTGATCTTGATCTAACACAATATTTTTAATTTCAATGATATTTCCATTTTTGAGGTTACAACAGCTATCTGGGGCAGCAGTTTGAAGAACGAAATTATGAAAGTTCACTTTTTTAAACTGATTCATGATATTTAAATCCAAAGTTGGCCCTTCTGAATGAGTAGATGAGAAAATTGGATATTTTTTTGAAATATTAGTAAGCTTAGTTTTATGAGCTGATTGATTTTTCTCACTCCTTCTTCTTATCATTTGTGATAGAGGTTTATCACTTTTCCTGATAGATTCCAATATGGTCTGTAGAAAATTTGGAATGGAAAAGCGCTGAAATCATCAAGTCTCCCATGATTTTTTACATCATTTGTGAGATGAACCAAATTATGAATATTGTGTGACATGTGTTCTTGTCCATAGAGAATCTTGAATGTTTCTACGAAGTATTGGAGAAGAGAGTGTGCATAATCAATGGCATCATGATATTTTTGATTTGATAGAATTGTTGATGCTACATGTAATGTGAGGAAATTTAGATATCTATCTTCATTCAACTGATTTCTTAATGCAACAGGTCCAGTGTAGAATAAAAATTGCCGAAATTCTGTAGCTTTCCATCGTTTTATTTCTGTCATACTCCTTGGTTTTATATTAAATTCTAATGGCATGCATCTAGCAAAATTGATCAATGAATCTGATATATCAGTTACATTTCTGAAAGAAATTTTAGTTGAAGGTTTTCCACAGCACCATAGAGACATTAATAATTTTCTGACAACACCCAGGCAGATTGAGTGCATATAATCCAAAGGGATGCCGTCTATCATATCAACATTTGGAATGTTGTCAATGACTGACGTACCATTATGATGATCCGCTTGTACTTTTGATCTAAATGCACTGTCAGTTCTCAAAAAGAGATTTTTTGATTCTGGAAAACATACCCTACCATTAGAATAACTGCCTTCAATATGACATTTTGTGCAAGAAAAATATCCAGTGTGTCCTTTCGTATATGTTATAGAAGATTTGGCTGGGGCATCACATATGAATGATTTTATTATTACTTCAAATTCCTGACCATTAATAATTATACCATTTGTAATAACATCAAGAGCATCATTAACAAATTCTTCCAAAAAACAGTTGGCTTCCTATGGTTTCTCATAACCATGATATATTCCAATCATATGAACAATCTTATCTTTTGACAATCTACATAATATTGGATAAACTTTACTACTGGAACTTTTGGATAAAGGCAATCCATCAATGTTTATAATGAGTTCGAATGTAGATGTCTCTTGTGAGTAGTGGGATGATTGTACATAAAGATTGTTGATACATGTTCTTATTCCAAAATAATGGTACTGGCCAGGATGAACACTTTTCAATGCAACATTCCTACAAGTTCCTAAAAAAGTTCTGGCATCTGTTGGCAACTCAGGAATAAAGTCCTTCATTATACCTAACAATTCATTTATAGCAGTGTGAGTGATATTATGTTGAAGTGCCCACTCAACCAACTTTGATGCATGGCTGATGGGTGAGTTGCCAAGTGAATGATTACTATTATTATCGGGATAGTGATTGAGAGGTGCAGTTTCATCAGTACAAAAAATCTCCTGAGTATTCAAATGGAAATCATTCAATTCGGATATTGGAGAAGGGGCATCTTCATTGTCAGAAGAATTCGGAGATGAACTGGGTTCATCTGGATAAAAAGTAGCGCTATTTTCAACTTCTTCATCATGAAGATTCGCTGTACTTGTAGCGGTGGAAGTCGATGGCAGTTGATATGGCAACAAGGAACGTGAAAGTCGCTTTGCTCGCATATAATGCTTATTTAGGTAATATCAGCTCATCGTGAAATGATTAATTAACTATTTCTTCAGTGATAGATATCGATAATAAATGTATACTTGCCTTGCATTCGTATAACACAAACAAACGGGCACAACAATCATCAACCAACTGAAGAGCACAGTTAGATCAGTATAATTAATATTATTATTATTCTCAGAATAATGTAATACGGACGAAGAATAGGTACGAATATTCTTCAGTTTTCGTGTTTTGTTTATAGTTCACCATAAATAATTCACACCCGAAGTGCAAATCAAATAAAGTTAATAATGGAATATGGAATAACGCACTTCACCACAGTCTCGCTAACGCTAACGTCGCTAAAGCCGCCACCCTGAACCGGATAGTTTGTCAGTTGTCAGTGTTGTCGTTGTCCCTTGTCACGTCAACTCATAGAACACAACTTTCAAAGGTACATCAATAATATTATCGGAATAATTTATGAAATTTCCTCGAAATTTCACATGACAAAAGCACAAATCGACAAGGTTTTAAAGGACAAAAAGTGTTCGTTATCTTTAGAATCGAATTCCCCCAAAGCAGGATTAATCGAATGACACCGACAACTTGAATTACCTTGAGAAAGAGCGGGTTATTTGAATATCTCGATCAACGATGTGATGAACTCAAAAATGTTTAGAAGTGAATAATATATGGAAGTATATCTTATATGTATTTATTCATTGGAGAAAGATGAAAATATTAACAAAGAAAATGTTAAGATATGTTATGTATTTCGAGGAAAGATTAAATAATGATGAACTGCGCAGCAAGCGTGCTACCTACTGCTCTGAGTATGATTATGACTGAGTATAATGGATTTAACAATTCATCTCAGCTTCATCGAAACTGAAATATGAAAACATAAGCATCATTTATTCACAAGACTAGAACGTCCATGAATTGGACGTTTTGGGGACATTTATTTCTGTACGTCTTGGGTATGTCCATGAAAAGACATCCTTTAAACGTCCAAAATAGTGCTATCTGGGATAGTTCGGTTATGAAAACTTGGACTGGTTATCAGATATTTTGCACCATATCGACCATCGCAACTTTTTTCCAATTTAACTGTCCTATGTTCTCGCAGATTCTCCAAACTCTTAACATTAACGGCATTTATCATTGTTTTGAAAGTAACCTTACCAAACTTTTGAGTTTCTACGCAAATCTGTATTCAGATCAATGTATGGTTTCAACAACCACTTTTATCGCCTGAACCTTAAGATTCTTTGAATTGTATCGACTACTTAAAAGTGCGAAATATATTCTTCTTCATCATATAATGTAGTCATCAGCTTTGGTAATTTCGAATTAGGAGGTATTAGTTTTTCAGGTGCAAAAGATAAATCTTTATGAAGATCGTGGTATTCGAGATCAACTTCCAGAATATAACCAAATTGGCAATCATCTGAAATTTCATCAACATTGAAATTTTCAATATTTCCCAACCATTCAAAATCCGAATGGGGGAGGTCTTGGCACATGGCCCATCCATATAGATTATTAACATGGAAGTACATAATGTTCTTTCACGGTTCATTGCTTTTGAAATTTGACCTATATTTATTATCAGCCATGGAATGTCTATTTGAACACTGACTGACCCCACCTCTTATACCATTTTCTCTGAAAAGTAGTACATCAATATCTTGAATAGTATCCAGCTTACATTCGGTATATTTCAACATACAATCCCAAGTTTAACCTGGTAGATTATTGTAGTGTGCAGGATCCAATCCGTATGTTTCATGACATATTTTTCGGATATTTCCAAATACATCAACTAACAACATGATATCTGTTTTTAAATAAAGGTCAGAATGATTTCCTAATGATTCAATTCGAAATGTATTCCATACCTTTTTTGCATGATCGTAATCCTTATCTTTAATATGCCCATCAATTAATTCACTATAGAAGTTATCTTTACTTGGCAATTGTGTTTCGACAAGTTCATCAATACCAAAGAAGGGAAGATTTGTATTTCGTGCAAAATGATTTATTCAATATTCGTAGCAAGGTTATCAATGTTATTCAAATAATCATAGCAAAATACACCTTTTCACATAATAAATTGAATTTATTTTCATAAATATCAAAAAATTCATTTCCCATATTGGCAAATTCAGATTCATCTGGAAACGATACCAGATCTTTCAATTTGAATGACATGAATCTATGAGGATCAACAAATCTGAATTTTACTTTTGATCTAGCAATATGCTGGGTGAATATTGTAAACCTAAACATTTGCAGTATCAACAAAAATTTCGTGCAATTGGAAGTGCTTCTTTCGCAAATTGATCTCTCTCCTAGTTGTATCGTTCTGTCTGAAACCTGGGAAATAAAAAACAAAGAATTATGGCAGATTGAAAATTACGACATGATCCACACGAAAACTCGGCTGAATCAAAATGATGGCGTAGTAGTGTACTTGAAAAAAGGGTTACTGCACACTTATGAAAATGTCCAAATAGGCTCAGCTAATGCATTAAACATTGAAATAAATATAAACAAGTATAAAATTAAACTCATTGCAGCCTACAGATCTCCATCAACGGACCCGGAACAATTCACAAACAGCCTATCAGGTTTACTAGAGAATCAAAATTTTAACAACTATGAATACACATACATCATCGGAGACATAAATATAGACATACTTAAAGACAGTAAAGAATCTGATGACTATCTGAACATGTTACAGGAAAAGGGTTTCATCTCCCTAATAAACAAATACACCAGAGTCACCACCGATACGAAATCTTGTTTGGACCACGTTTTTGTAAGGGGAAAAAATAAAAACTATGATGAAAGCAACTATTCGGTCGTTTTGAAAACACTGATTACTGACCACTATACAACCTTCGCTATAACCAATATGATCAATAATAAGTCTACTGAAAGTGTACTAACATGTAGTAAAACTGATGAAAGAAAACTACTCAATACGATAAAACAAAAAAACTGGAACAACGTCGAAAATATCCAAAACGCCGAATTATCATTTGAATCATTCATAACCGAAGTGACAAAAATGATAAAAGATGCAACACAAACTTTCAAAATAAAACTGAAAAAGAAAAAAAAGCCTTGGATATCTCAGGGACTAGTGAACTCCATTAAAACCCGCGATTCTCTACATCGAAGACAAGTAGCTGAACCAAACAATCATACAATAAAAACATACTACATCAAATATCGTAACAAACTAAATAAATTAATCAAAAAAGCTAAGAGCGACTACTTCCAATCTGAAATCGAAAAAAACGTAGGATCGGCAAAAAATATGTGGAAAGTTGTAAACAGTTTCACCAACAATTATAAAGAAAAAACTAACACAATCAAAAATTTAATCCTGGAAAATGGCACGGAAATAACTGAGGCAAATGAAATAGCAAATGAAATGAATAATTATTTCTCTGAAATAGGCCCGAAACTGGCATCTAAAATTAACAAAAGTGATCTGAAAGAGCAGCATGCCATATCTCTGAACTCCATATATCTTAGACCCACGTCCATTACCGAAATAAAAAATGAAATCTTATCCTTAAAAAATAATAAATCACCGGGCACAGATGGGATTAAAAATGAGACGGTCAAATTGATGGCAGAATATATATCTGCACCTTTGTGTCACATCTTCAACTTATGCATCTCTACCGGAATAGTGCCAAAGGATTTCAAAACAGCAATCATAATACCAATTTTCAAAGGTGGAGTCAAATCAAATGTGGCAAATTACCGACCGATTTCACTCACATCCGTCTTTTCAAAATTATTTGAGAAAATAATCAAAAAGCGACTCATGGAATACCTTAACCTTCATAATATAATTTCAAACAGACAATACGGATTCAGGGAAAACCAAAGTACTCAGGATGCTATAGCATACCTCACCTCACAAATATACGCGGCTGTGGACAATAAACAGCCATGTCTGGGTGTTTTCGTTGATTTAGCAAAGGCGTTTGACACGGTCAGTCATGAACTTTTGCTAGAAAAGCTTGAACACCTAGGCATAAGAGGAACTCCATTGGAACTATTCAAAAACTTCCTCAATAACCGTGAACAAATGGTCAAAGTTAATGATAAAATAAGTAATTCTAGATCGGTTTCCTGTGGTGTACCACAGGGTACAGTCCTTGGTCCTGTACTGTTTGTAATATATCTAAACTCCTTGCTCACCTTAGAAACTTGTGGGGAAATTGTCTCGTTCGCTGACGACACGGCCATTATTTATGTAGCTGATTCGTGGGCTGATTTGAAGGAAAAGGCAGAAGAGGACTTGGTAAAAATAAAAAATTGGTTCGAACTAAACTTGTTAACCGTAAACGTTACAAAAACAAAGATAATACCCTTTTCTTCATATGATACCAACTTACCAACTTACACTATCGATTTTGATGGGCAAAATGTTGCGACGACCCGCAGCGTACGTTATCTTGGAATATTCATTGATTCTTGCCTAAAATGGGATGTCCACATAGAAAATCTTAAGAAAAAAATCCGTTCACTATTGTACAAGTTCTACCAATGTCGATATATACTCCCACTAGAAAAACTGAAAGAGATATATTTTGCAATCGCAGAGTCGTTATTGAGTTATGGTATAATAGGATGGGGCGGAGCCCGCAAGACTCTGATGGAGCCTCTGCAGGTCTTACAAAAGAGAATTCTGAAAATAATAACTTTTAAACCCTACAGATACCCATCTGATGAACTCTATAACAATCTTGATATATTAGATATCAGACAAATTTATGTGAAGTCAGTGCTGATGTTCATCTTCTCAAATAAGTCATCCTACCTAAATAAACCTGATCACTCTTATGACACTCGAAGCATGAGAATAAGGAACGCTTATGTACCGAGAGTCAACAAAGCGCTAGGACAACGATCTTTAATGTATAATGCGCCAAAACTATACAATAACGTTCCGGAAAATATAAGATGTATCGAATCAAAGCTTTTTTTCAAGAAAACTATAAAAAAATGGATCCTACAACGTGGAAGAGCATACTTTCACTCGATTATAGATTGAACAAACCCCTTATTTCTTTCATTCCAGTTCCATTTCATGTTATTCATATACACATATCAAGTAGACTTTGTTTATTTTTCAATTTTTCAAATCTTAAATTCTTCAATAATCAATTTTCATATAGCAAATAAATAAATTCTTGAAAGCAAATAAACATAAACCTCTCCATAGACAGTCCCCTCCAGGACTACATGGCGTTTCTGTTTATTTACTTGGTATTTATACATATAATATGTTCTGTAAACATTTTCTTTTTTGTTTGTTACCTAGTAAATAAACATATTCTATTCTATT